AACAACAACAACGACGACGACGAGGATGAAGGAAGGAAGGAAAATAACGAGAAGAAGAAAAAAAAAATATGAGAGAAGAAACGATACACGTTCGAAATGCTAACGGATTTTCCTCGATTCCGGACGGACTTGCAGAGAGAGAGAGAAAGAAAAAAGGAAATCCAAATAATAGAACGACATTTCCATTTCCAAATGTAATTTATTACCAATCCCGGATAACGCATTTCCTATTTTGCTGAAAGATTTTCTTTCCAAACATTTTCACCAACATTTTTTTTTATATATATATATTCTTAACCACACCTGAATTGTATTTCAGTAAAAAAAACTTTTGTTACTTGGTTATATAAATCAGTAATAAGATTTTTTTTGTTTTTCTTGATTTTGGTACCACTTGACACAATTCACTGAACGGAAAACAAACGAATTCTTAAAATATCAACTGAAAATATATGGATCCTGTCAAATTTATAACCTTACGAGTTGCGAAATGACAGCTGTCATCACGTGTGTCGAAACGAGGAACTGGTAAAAAACTTTTATCGATTGGTACAACAAATATGTTTTGTTTCCATTATATTAAGTGTAATAGACTATGATTTTGACAAAATTTTAAATTTTCCACTAATAAAGTCTTCAATAAGTTGCTACAAGAACAGAAAAATGTGGACTTAATACATAACCTGAAATCGATAGATATGTCTGTGAAAGGTTATGATTTCTTCTATACGTACAATAAAGAAAATAGACAATTGCATAGAAAAGAACTATTTTTTTTTACTAACCATGACAGTTTAACAACCATGACAACAAAAAATTTAATATTATGATATTTAGATGTTATGTCAATTTTTAAATGACGTAATAAAAATATGTCATGAAAGAAGCGTTGCGGATTTATGGCATGTCATCAAGTGAGGTTACGTATGAATTTTAATTTGACAGTTATATAACATGATGAATTCATTATGTCATCTTTATGATATATTAAAAGAAGCGGTTTTGATTTATTATCGCTTTTTCTTCTAGTGAGGTTATGTCAATTGTGAACACAATGATGAGGGAATCATTTCATTACAAATGTCATAAAAGAAACGTCATCATTTTGTTTTATTATTATGTCAATTTTGACAGTTCTGTAATTCGAACGATGTGATAATGAAATCTAATTAGCGTTACAGTTTTGTTTTTGTGCAACTTTTTTCTAGTAGGGTTATGTCAATCCTTATTTGACAGTTCTATTTTTATTTGACAGTTCTGTGATAATGGAATTTAAAGAGAATAATTGTATTTGAGAAGTCATGAAAGAAACGATATATCAATTTCATAATGAAATCTTAAGAGAATCATATTTTTAGAGAGGTCATAAAAGAAGCGTTACGATTTTGATTTAGTACAGCTTTTCATGTGGTAAGATTATGTCAATTTTTATTTGACAGTTCTATAATTCGAACGATGTGATAATGAAATCTAATTAGCGTTACAGTTTTGTTTTAGTGCAACTTTTTTTCTAGTAGGGTTATGTCAATTCTTATTTGACAGTTCTATTTTTAATTTGACAGTTCTGTGATAATGGAATTTAAAGAGAATAATTGTGTTTGAGAAGTCATGGAAGAAACGATATATCTATTTCATAATGAAATTCGAACGATGTGATAATGAAATCTAATTAGCGTTACAGTTTTGTTTTAGTGCAACTTTTTTCTAGTAGGGTTATGTCAATTCTTATTTGACAGTTCTATTGTTATTTGACAGTTCTATGATAATGGAATTTAAAGAGAATAATTGTATTTGAGAAGTCATGAAAGAAACGATATATCAATTTTATAATGAAATCTTAAGAGAATCATATTTTTGGAGATGTCATAAAAGTACAGCTTTTCATCTGGTAAGGTTATGTCAATTTTTATTTGACAGTTATGTAATTCCAACGATGTGTTAATAAAATCTAATTAGCGTTACAGTTTTGTTTTTGTACAACTTTTTTCTAGTAGGGTTATGTCAATTCTTATTTGACAGTTCTATTTTTATTTGACAGTTCTGTGATAATGGGATTTAAAGAGAATAACTTTATTTGAGAAGTCATGAAAGAAACGATATATCAATTTTTATATGACAGTTATGTAATGTGAAAACTGTGATAATGAATTCTAAAGGGAATTATTTTATTGGCGATGTCATAAAAGAAGCGTTACGGTTTCGATTTAGTACAGCTTTTCATCTGGTAAGGTTATGTCAATTTTTATTTGACAGTTGATTAAAACGGTAAATTCAATTTTATTACAGAAAGGTATCATTTAATAAACGTCGATAAATACAATTGTTTTCTGAAAATTGAAAATTACTGTAGCAAATTATTTCAGCATTGAATCAATACGCCCACTCTTCGTTACCGAAACGTTCAGCATTATTTTTATTTTTTTTTGTTCTGTTTCGTTTGCTCGTTCATTAACCGCCTCCACCCACCACCACACCCCTAAAAAAACTTCTCTTCGTATTCAAAAAACCCCCAACCAATATTCATATTTAATATTTTCCAAGTCGGACGAGACGAAAGCTTTCAACGGTGTGCCCGGAAGGGGTGAGCTTACCGTCGATCAAAAATAATGCCGTTACCATTGGCAACTAATCCTACCACTACACCTCTTCATCATCATCCCCAACCCACTCGTAAATACATTAAAGCACGCATCCAGTAGCAACAACATCAACAATATATAAAAAAAAAGACAAACCAGAAATTTTTATTTTATACGGAATAAAATTCCCCCCCAAAAAATAACGAGCGAACGGAAATAAAACAACTAACAAACGTACAAAACGGCAGAGGCATCATTAAATAAACTTCAACATCGATTAGTCCGAATGAAAATAGTAACAATGGGGGAAAAAAACAGGGTTTTGCAGCAGAAAATAATCCGCTTGCAAAAATATTTTTTTTTTGTATTATTATTTTTTGGGGTGCGCTTTAGTTTTTGTTTTGTTTTGTTTTGCATGTATGTTTTGTTTGTGTCATTTGTTATTGTGACGAGTGTGGGTATTTTATTTGAATTTCGTGTTTTTTTTTTGTCTCGTTGGAAAATCCGATAAAACCGAACGGAAATAATTGGGGAAAATGTTGGAAATGTTTGATGTAATTCGAACAGTCAAATTTAAATGTTCATTTAAAAGTAATGAAATCTTTCATGAATTGATAAAAACATTTATAAATGAAATTAACAAATTTTAGTGTATTTTTTTTTACAAGTTAAATACATTTGTGACATTTCTGACAAAACAAAAGATGAAAATGTGACAGAGTTGTCATTTTTTCAAATTCCAATAAATAATTAAGATTTCCATGTAATTTAGATGAGGAATTAAAGTAATTATAAATCATTTCCTCACATATTTATTAAAATAAGGTTATCAAATAAAATTATTGACATTTCCAAGGAGACACGTCACGGTGAATCAGTTGTCTTTTTTGACTTTTCTCGGAAGCTGCGTCACTACAAACAAAACAAAAGATGACAATGTGACAGAGTTGTCATTTTTTTCAACTTCCAATAAATAATTAAGATTCCCAAGTAATTTACATGACGAATTAAAGTAATTATAAAACATTTTCGCACATATTTATTAAAATGAGGTTATCAAATAAAATTGTTGACATTTCCTACAAGATACGTCACGATGAATCAGTTGTCATTTTTGACATTTCTCACAAGATACGTCATGACAAACAAAACAAAAGCTGAAAATGTGACAGAGTTATCATTTGAACGGTGACGGCGGCCGCAATTTCCAATTTAATTAAACAGCTCCATCTATTTATATCATCTATAAATCTATTCAGATGAAAGAAAAGTAGAAAATAAAAACATAATTATCGTCCGAAAACCTGAAAGAAATCCTTCCTTATTTAATTCCGAATATCCTCGTTGCATTTTTAATTAGACGCCATTCGCATTAGCAAATTCTCTTCTTTTTTTTTTGTTTCTTTGCATGTTTCCTTTGCAAAACTGAGAGCTGCACTCTATAAAATTTTAAATTATTAATTAAAGGAATATATGGGATCAAAACCTTTTTGGTCGTAGAAGAGGCTACGATTAAAGCTACTTTGACGGAGAATTTGCTAGCGGTGGGTGGGATTTGCTCCGAAAAGCTAAAGTCCGTCTCTTTGCGAAGCTCTCATTTCGCTGTATAAGTAATTATATGGTTTACAGATGCCCGAAATGCATGATTTATTCCAACGTAATGTTTCTTTTATCATCAAAATCCTTGAAATTAGAGGGTTTCATTTGCAATTAAGGTCGTATATGTGTTAGTAGTTCTAATATTCATGATTTACTTGACTTAAATACATAAATTTGAGTATATAAACATTTGTGGACGAGCGGCGGATATATACGCCATATCTTAGTTTTAAGCGCCTATGTTAGTTCTAAATGAGGCATCACTAGTCTTTTTCAGATGGAGGCGTATAAGCTGAATATGTTAATTGTTGTTTTATGAGTTTTCAAAGAAAAAAATTCAAATTTTTCAACATTTTACGATTCATTTTCGGTCTCCAATTTAGACTTCTGGCGTCTACGCCTGTCATTGACTATATAACATTGTCGTTTAATTGCTCCTAACACTATGTCCTTGACTATACCGAATCTTAAGTCACAACTGATATTATATCTTGGATTTTCTTTGGTTTTGCCAAAGTTCTTCCCACCAAAGTGTGTGTGGCTATCATTTCTTCGCCGAACGCCAGTATCCATGCAACATTTAGAAATTGTCGTTCCGTAGTAGTTTTAATATTGATGATTTTATTGCCTCAAAGACTTAAATTTGAGTACTTAATCATATCCGGACGAGCGGCGGATATATACGCCACATCCTAGTCCTAAACGCCTATCTTATTCAAGAGAAAGAACGTGTCTTTAAAAAGAAAAATTAGAATAATCCAAAGTAATTTCGGTTTTAGAATATTTAAATTCAAAGAGTCTAATAGTTTAATAATTTACAAATTTAAGTAATGTTAAAATCGAAGAGTTTACAAAAACAAATTCTTATAAAATTTGAATAGTTTAAACAATACATAACAGATTTTTGTTCATAAATTTCGTTATGAAATTCTCATCAAAGCTTCCAGTTCTCTTTTGTAAGGTAAAGTATATTTCTTGTATTCGACGTTGCAATGATCCGAAATTGCATCTTGCACTTCCTTCTTAGTTGCTTTGCACATAATTTCCACGACGTGGATGATATCTGCGACTTTGTTCTTGTCCAATTGTCGTTTCCAAAAGTTCTTCCCCGAAAGCGAGTGAGTGCCCAACGTTTCCGGCGAGAACGCACTGTAAGCTAGACCGCAAGTTGCGAGCTTGTATTTGTTCCAAATCACACGACTCATGCAAAGCTTAGGTATCGTCGTATTGTTCTCGCCGAATGAGACCATCTGAATTGAATTCGTTTGCGAGTAGGATTCATGTCGAATTTCGGCTAAAATTTCCGTCATTTCAACTCTGATTCTGTGTAAATCAGCTAAAAAAAAATAATAAAAATTAGTGACAAAATTGGGGAAAAAAGTGATAGTAATTGAAAAAAATGTGACAGTAATTGAAAAGATCTAGCAAAAGTGATAAAATTTGGGAAAATGTAACAAAATTGTAGAAAAAGTAAAAGTATTTGAGAAAATTTAAGAAAATTGTATAAAAATTGACAATATTTGATAAAATATAACAAAATTGTATAAATTCTAATAAAATTGTAGAGAAGTGATAAAATTTGGGAAAATGTAACAATAATGTATAAAAAGTGTCAATATTTGAGAAAACTTAACAAAATTAATGAAATGTTGCAATCTTTTAAAAAAGTGTAATTAAATTGAATAACAGTCACAATATTTGAGAAAACTTAACAAAATTGATAAAAAAAGTGACAATATTTACAAAAATGTATCAAAATTGTAAAAATAAAGGTGTTAATATTTAAGAAAATGTTTCAAAATTGAATGAAATGTTGCAATCATTAAAAAAATGTAATAAAATTGAATAAAAAGCGATAATATTTGAGAAAACTTCACAAAATTGATGAAAACGTGATAATATTTGCAAAAATGTAACAAAATTGTAGAAAAATTGACAATATTTAAGAAAATTGTGAAAAAGGTGACAATATTTGAGAAAATGTTTCAAAATTGATTGAAATGTTGCAATATTTTTAAAAAATTTAATAAAAAGTGATAATATTTGAGAAAACTTAACAAAATTGTAGAAAAATTGACAATATTTGAGACAATAGTAAAAAAGGTGACAATGTATTAGAAAATGTTCAAAATTGAATGAAATATTGAAATCTTTTAAAAAAATGTAATGAAATTGAATAACTAGTGACAATATATGAGAAACCTTAACAAAATTAATGAAAAAGTGATAATATTTGCAAAAATGTAACAAAATTGAAAAAAAAATATCAATATTTGAGGAAATTGTAAAAAAGATGACAATATTTGCGGAAATGTATCAAAACTGTATAAATTGTAATAATATTTAAGAAAATGATGAAAATTGATGAAAAAGTGATAATATTTGCAAAAATGTAACAAAATTGTAGAAAAATTGACAATATTTGAGACAATAGTAAAAAATGTGACAATATATGAGAAAATGTTCAAAATTGAATGAAATATTGAAATCTTTTAAAAAAATGTAATAAAATTGAATAAAAAGTGACAATATTTCAGAAAACTTAACAAAATTGATGAAAAAGTGCTAATATTTGCAAAAATTGTAGAAAAATTGACAATATTTGAGACAATAGTAAAAAAAAGTGACAATGTATGAGAAAATGTTCAAAATTGAATGAAATATTGAAATCTTTTAAAAGAAATGTAATAAAATTGAATAACAAATCACAATATTTGAGAAAACTTAAGAAAATTGTGAAAAAGGTGACAATATTTGAGAAAATGTTTCAAAATTGATTGAAATGTTGCAATCTTTTTAAAAAATGATAATATTTGAGAAAACTTAACAAAGTTGATGAAAAAGTGATAATATTTGCAAATATGTAACAAAATTGTAGAAAAAATGACAATATTTGAGAAAATTGTGGAAAAAGTGACAATATTTGAGAAAATGTTTCAAAATTGATTGAAATGTTGCAATCTTTTTAAAAAATGTAATAAAATTGAATAAAAAGTGACAATATTTGAGAAAACTTAACAAAATTGATGAAAAACTGATATTTCCAAAAATGTAACAAAATTGAAAAAAAAATAACATTATTTGAGGAAATTGTAAAAAAGGTAACAATATTTGCGGAAATGTATCAAAACTGTATAAATTGTAATAATGATGAAAATTGATGAAAAAGTGATAATATTTGAAAAAATGTAACAAAATTGTAGAAAAATGACAATATTTGAGAAAATTGTGGAAAAGGTGACAATATTTTAGAAAATGTTTCAAAATGAATGAATGATTTTTTTGAATGAAATCTTGCAATCTTTTAAAAAAAAATGTAATAAAATTGAATAACAAGTCACAATATTTCAAAAAAACTTAACAAAATTAATGGAAAAGTGATAATATTTGCAAAAATGTAACAAAATTGTAAAAAAATTAACAATATTTGAGAAAATTGTAAAAAAAGCTGACAATATTTGAGAAAACTTAACAAAATTGATGAAAACGTGATAATATTTGCAAAAATGTAACAAAATTCTTGAAAAAATGATAATATTTGAGAAGATTGTAAAAAAGATGACAATATTTGAGAAAATTGAATGAAATCTTGCAACCTTTTAAAAAAATGTAATAAAATTGAATAACTAGTGACAATATATGAGAAAACTTAACAAAATTTATGAAAAAGTGATAATATTTCCAAAAATGTAACAAAATTGAAAAAAAAGTAACAATATTTGAGGAAATTGTAAAAAATTGTCACCTTTTTTACAATTTCCTCAAATATTGTTACTTTTTTTTCAATTTTGTTACATTTTTGGAAATATTTGCGGAAATGTATCAAAACTGTATAAATTGTAATAATATTTAAGAAAATGATGAAAATTGATGAAAAAGTGATAATATTTGTAAAAATGTAACAAAATTGAAAAAAAATTGACAATATTTGACAATAGTAAAAAAGGTGACAATATTTGAGTAAATATTTCAAAATTGATAATAATGTAACAAAATTGACGAAACAAAATTTTATTCGTCTTTAAGACAATAAAATTATTAATTTTTTTTATGTAAATTATGATTTTTTCAATTAAATATTATTGCTGTTTTAAGTCTAGATTCAAAAAACCATATCGACAAAAGCGCACAGCAACAAAATGACGCAGATGTATTACTTTGCAGCCTTCTTTTGTTACAGCGCCTTCTTTCATATACATATTGATACAATAATGTATAGAGTAAAACTGTTGCAATTCTTACCAGCTTCTTTCCCTCTCGCCATACGATTATCACGTTTCTTGTGCGCCGATTGGCACCGTCTCTTAATCACGTCACGCACACGTTCCACCGGTACATCGCAGTAATGCGAAACGACCGAAGTTATGTCTTCGATCTTCCTCGGATCCAACGCCCCTTTCGGACCTATCCTTCCCGTCAAACTTTGGATCGCCAAGAATCGTTCGCCGAACACCCCATTAAGTAAAGTATGAATTGCCAACTTGAAGTCCCTCCAATCTATCTTCAGAATGGTAGCTTCAGCGATTGCAGTCATGTTCGGTCCGAACGTGATCATCGGAATGTTTTCTTTCGTCAAATTTCGACTTGGTCGGGCGATGCATTCGTACGATGTCGAAGCGACGGGAAACTGAGCAGCACTGTCTGAAACGTCTTCACGTGCATCGTCACTTAACAGTACTGCCATGAAGGCTTTCAGTTGGCTCGGATCATCTGAAATTTCGAGACACAAATATTTGTTTCTTTCAATTGTTTTTTCCTCACTCACTCGATGTCATAATCATGGTACTTATAATGGTAAGATCTTGGGTTATATCGTAGCATTTGCCATGACCTAAGAGAACGACATTGCAGTAGTCGATGATCCTGTAATAAGTCGTTGAGTCATGTACGGATTCCACCAGCACATGACTATGATCTGGAGATATAATTGGAGCAACTACGAGAAAAAGTTTATTTTTTTTAACAATTTTCTTTCAAAATTAACTCACCGTCGTCCATATTTATATCCAAATCGGTGTCATCTAGTTGCACATCCACATCCATATTTAATCCCATTTCGTTTAGTTCCATTGTAATTAATCTTAATTAACACCAACAAGAACACTATTTTTTTTAAGTAAATATAAAAATAAATATTTGTCAATTAATAAAAAGTATAAATAACAGTTAAAATGTTTAAAATACAAACAAATCACATTGAAATGATTAGTTTTTAATAGTTTCAGTGCACTAAGTAATGATATTATTGTTTGGAAACGTGTACATTTATTTGAAATTCGATAAATAAAACTGTCTGATTTTGCTTAGTCTATGTGTAAATTTGTAGGAATGAAAAAGTTTTCTTTTTTTTTATATATTATTTTTTGATGATAGAAAAACAATTCGTGTAAAAGTTTTGTGTAAAATTGGGAATGAAATGTTGATATTTCTTTGAAATTGTATTAGCATTGATTTGATTTTGGAAAAATGTAACACAAATGAAGAAAATGTAACAAAATTTGAAAAATAGTTACATTATTTGGGAAAATCAGACAAAATTAAAGGAAAAGTAACAGTATTTGGGAAAATTGTATAAAATTCAAAGAAAAGTAACAAGATTTGAAAAAATGTAATAAAATGGAATGAAATGAAACAAAATTTAAGAAAATGTGACAATATTTAAGAAAATATAAGAAAAAGTAACATTACTTGGGAAAATCTGACAAAATTTAAACAATATGTAACAAAATTGAGATAAAAGTGTCAATAATTAAGGAAATGTAATAAAATTGACATTATTTAGGAAAATCTGACAAAATTGAAAGAGATGTAATAACTTTTGAAAAAATGTAAAAAAATAAAGAAAATAGAACAATATTAAAGAATATGTAACAAAATTGAGGAAAAAGTGACATTATTAGTAGAAATCTGACAAAATTGTAAGAGATGTAACAAATAATTAAGAAAATGTAACAAAATTGAGATAGAAGTGTCAATACTTAAGGAAATTTAGTAAAATTGAAGAAAATGTAACATTATTAGGAAAAATCTGATAAAATTAAAAGTGATGTAATAATTTTTGAACAAATTGTAACAAAAATTAAGAAAATAGAACAATATTTATGAAACATTGATAATATTTAAGAAAAGGTAACAAAATTGAAGAAAAAGTAACCTTATTAGAGAAAATCTGACAAAATTGAAAAAGATGTAACAACTTTTGAAAAAATATAACAAAAATTAAGAAAGTGGAACAAAATTTTAAAAAATGCAATATAGTTAAAAAATGTAACAAATTCGAGAAAACTTCATATTATTTGAAAAAAACTGACAAAATTGAAGGAAATATACCAATATTTGAGAAAATGTAATTTTATTAAAAAAAAAGTGACATAATTTGGTAATATCTGACAAAATTGAAAGAAATGTAACAAATAATTAAGAAAATGGAACAAAATTTAAGAAAATGCAACAAAATTGAGATAGAAGAGTCAATAATTAAGGAAATGTTGTAAAATTGACATTATTTGGGAAAATGTAACAACTTTTGAAAAAATGTAGCAAAATTTAAGAAAATGGAACAAAATGTAAGAAAATATAATAAAACTGAGATAAAAGTATCAACAATTAAGGAAATGTAGTAAAATTGATGAAAAAAAAGATATAAGAGTGACATTATTAGTTAAAATCTGAAAGAAATTTATAAACATTTGAATAAATATAACAAAAATTAAGAAAATGAAACAAAATTTTAAAAAAATTAACAACATTTGAGAAAATCCAAAATAATTGAATTACATATTTGGGAAAATCTGACAAAATTGTAGGAAATATAACAATATTTGAGAAAATGCAATAACATTTGAAAAAATGTAATAAAAATTAAGAAAATGGAATAAAATTGAAGAAAAAGTGATAATGTTTAAGAAAATTTTATTTTGTTACACTTTGTTCCATTTTGCTACACTCTGTTCCGTTTCGCAATAGAAAAATTGTCATTCGACCAATGCAAAAGTTTATTTTCTATTTATATTTTTTGTTTGTTTCGTACAACGAGAACAGAGCTAAAAATCAAATTATCGCAGGTATTTCAGCGCGTGTTTTTCATCTAATAAAAACGCACGAGATGCACACAATACCTTTCAAATAAAACCAAAAAAAAACATAATGAATTTACACAGGACGCACCTATCCTATGCAAATCCACATTCAACAATCAAATTTGTTTGTAAAACGCAAATAATTTCGATTATTTACGCATTCATTACTATAGTATTATGAATAACAAAACAATTTGTGCGTTCCCGAAAATTCAATTAAAACAAATCGAGCAAATAATGCGTTTTGCGCAACGTTTTTGTTCGTTGAAAATACCTTTTTCTCTCTAATTTTATTTACCATTGTTATTATTTCCATTTTGATTTATTAACGTATATTTTAATGAGGACGTTTAATTGTTGTTGTTGTTGTTTTTGCTGCTGCTGCTGCTTTTTTTATGATGATTTTGCGTTGTAATAATGGCATAATTAAAATAAATATTTGCTCCATTGAAATGCGAATTTGTAATCACGGAATTTTCATATTATTAATTATTCTGCGAAATTATTTGTTGGAATACGTTCGTTTATTTTATAAAACAGAAGCACTTGATTCGCGCACAGCCAACACAGATTATTATTATTAATATTTAGTACAAATAAAAACAATAATTTATCGTATAAATTTGAAATTACGGTAAAATATGATATTGTTATTATTAAAATTAAATGTATTTTGAACAAAAATTTTCGAATAAATTCAATGCCAAATCAATAATGAAATATTGCATATTATTGGTACGGTAATACCTCGCTTAGTTCGGTTTTCGCACTGTTTGAAGTCGAGGACGAGGAATAGAAAGCTCCAATTTTTTAACGTTTTTTTTTTATAAAACTTTTGTTCCATTTCCTCAAGTTATACTATTTTTTCAAATTTGAACACGAATTACAGCCAAACGGCTAAAACCACAGTAATATATCGATACTTG